TTATGAATGTCAGTAGGAAGAAACTATAGGAAAATCTTGTGAGAGGGAAGAAACACGGTAGTGTTGTTTTAAGGATACATACTTATTAAAACATTCCAACTATATTTTTAGAGTAGTGGGATTTGTGTCATCAATTACAACTTAGGAAAGAGAATTACAGCTTTCAGAGAAGAGTCCACAATTAGTCTTCTCTCAAGATACTGATGAAACCCAAAAATTCCCCAGAATTACTGGATGCCTTTTAAAACCATCAGTAAGTTTTTAAAAATTATTTTGTTCAAATTTATTTTGTCTCAACATTATATGGTCTCATTCATTTGGGAAATATAAAAAATAGTGAAAGGGAATAAAGGGGAAAGGAGAAAAATGAGTGGGAAATATCAGAAAGGGAGACAGAACATGAGAGACTCCTAACTCTGGGAGATGAACGAGGGGTGGTGGAAGGGAAGGTGGGCAGGGGGTGGGGGTGACTGGGTGACGGGCACTGAGGGGGGCACTTGATGGGATGAGCACTGGGTGTTATTCTATATGTTGGCAAATTGAACACCAATAAAAAATAAATTTATAAAAATTTGTTTTGTCTCCACACCTGGAATTCTGCATGCATTTGTAATGATTGTCCTTCACTAAATACAGAGCAGAGCTGGAGAAGATTTGGAAAGGGCATCTGGAGAGATTAATGGTTCATATGGGTGAATGTATGAGGGCCCTCTATCTTCAAATTTAATTATCACACTGACTTTATAAAGGTATGTTGAGCATTAAATGCCGAAATGGATATTCTATTTTTTAGTAATGTGAACTTAAATGAGTATCATTAACAAATTAAATTACTCAGCACAAGGCCTGGTACAAAGTAGGCATCCACCAACTACTAGTTCCCTTTCTTTAGATGCACACAAAGCTAGACTTTATGCCCAAAGGGATGAGTCTTCCATTCACAGGGAAAACTGAAATTCTACATGGTTCTCCACTGAGTTACTATGAAGCAAATGGAATTGGTGGAACTGGACCAATAAGAGAACCAGTGCAATGTTAGATATATACTAGAAATTAGCGTGCAAGAAGCAGGTTCAAGTAAACTCAAGAACCAAAGCCAATACCAAAAAAGTAATACAGACAATTTAGTGCATAAATGCTCAAACTTATAGCAGCAAGCAATGGCTGGACAGCATGGTCTGTGTACCAAGATCTTTCTATTGACTCTGCTAAATAGTGTAACTCACTTCTGGGACTTCTTTTTTTAAATGTGTGTAGTGAATCTTGCATGAAGATGATATTGAAGATCCATGACACTATATTCCCTTGAAGGATTTTCCATTTTCTTGGCCAAGTGAGACCTGAAGCTTCATAGGGAGGCAATAAAACATACCCACCAATGTAGAAGGCTTTACAAATATGACTTAAGTTCCCAGAGCTCTCTCAAGGGCATGTGGTATTAGATTTGCCAAGAGGCTAGTATACCCTATATGCTCTATTTTGTTTCAGGGATGACTATTGTGGTCATAGGCTAGATGATGCTGGATGGAAAAGATCTTCCCAAGTCAAGAAAAGGGTAATATCTGTTTTACCATCCTGGATAGAGGTAAAGGCAGTGACAGCATGGGTCCTGTGTGCTGCCACCTGGACAGATTAGAGGTGGTGAAAGGACAATTATACATTCCTCCCTCTTTAAATATGCTTGTCAGGGGCTCATAGTCATGTGTTATGTTATTACCCATGACGATATATTCCAATGGTTAGGGTGAACTGTGTAGTATTATAAGAAGTAATTACTTATGGAAGGTATCATGGTTCTGGGTGTGAGCAGAGGTAACTGCAGGAATTAAAAACCATAAACATTTTGGAATTTTATTACAGCTGTAGACAAATGAGAAAGAATAAAAGGAGGATGACTGTTGATGTAAAGCTCCCAGGGAGGCCAATCTTCAGTGAATTCACAATGGTTCACACTGTGGTGCTGACTTTGTATAGTGAGAATCTTTTTTTTTTCCAGTGCACTCAGTGGTAGATTAGAATCTGGAGGACTAAAAAAAAAAAAAAAAGATTCTGGAGGACTGATGCTATTAAAACCCACAAAAAACTGATGTATAAGCCAAAAGCAAATTTATATTTATTTATTTACTTATAATGAGAATTAACTGCAAAATAGGCTAGAATACTCCATGTCAGCTGGTTAGTGAGTTCTCTCCCCATAACAAAGTTTATATGGGAACATAATTACAATCAGATTACTTCTACATGGGGTCACAGCAAGGGTGTTAGGTGGCAATCTTAATGGCCATCTCACTTTATGTGGACCCCACTGTATGTGGACCTGGTAAATCATATATAATCAACATCCCCTCTTTGAGTTTAGAGATTACCGATGCCCTATGACTCTTTAATTGCCCCCTTTCTAGATTCTCTGAAGACCATTCTATCACTAAAAATTCCTTCTTCAGACTTATCATAAAATGATTAGATTTTATCTTGCTGGATTGCATCAATCACATAGCAGATCTGCCTTCCTTAAACTACAATCTTGGTTGGACTTGGGGACTCCTCAAGCCTTTTGCAGACTACATCTTCAAGTAGGTTACCTCTCATCTGTTCTCAGTAGATTTTAATCAGTTTCACTCTCAGATAAGTTAATTTGGTATAAGTTCTTAGAAAAACATCTGTGTAACTTTATACTAAATAATGAGTTTATTCTATTGAAGTGGATGGTGTTTTTATAATGAAATTTGGAAGAGGTAAACAAAATGGTTGCTAGCTAGTAGACAGTTAAGCATTATCCCAGTATCCTATTTCTATGATCATTCTGATTGTTGAATTGTATCACATAGAGCACAAGAATTCCTTGACTGGGAACTCATCAACAAGGGGTTTCTTGAAATGGGGGGATTTATAGGCCAAAATGAATTATCTGTTCTGAGAGGCTGTGAAATCTGAAGATTTCTTGGAGAAGAAGGTGATGCTGCTGCAGAGGGAAGGTCCAAACAGGAAATAAGGTAATGCATCTTTGTGAGAGAGCACATAATGATAAATTATGTCCTTAAGATAAGAAAGATTGGTGATGAAGCCAACTGAATGATTCCCATCAGCATTCTGAGACCATACTTGGGTCAGTAAGGAAAGTGACTAGAGGCTACGGGTTACTGTTTTGTTACAGAATTGGGGGTGCTAGATCAGGATACCTCCAAGTAATCCCAGAGACACTTAAAGTTTAAATAGATCTACTTGTTAGAGGCCTTCATACAATCCCAGTACCGCAGTGAGAATTTCTTGGCACAATTGGAATATGTGCATCCAGGTTTCCTTGTTATGAGAACATGTGGAGTAAAGTGGAATGTATAGCAAGCTATTGATAAAGGAGACCCCTTGTAAATGCAAATAAGGGTTGGCACAGTGGTTAGTGAGGCACTGATGGGAAAAATGATCTATTTGTTAGTGCTACTGGATGAAAGAGGTAAGGGCCTAAGTGGGTTTAAATATTGTCAAAGTTAGCATAATTCCCCAGAAACAAGGCCAAAGAACAATGACACTTCATGTTCTGAGAGGTCTTGATGGCTGCTAGGGAATAAGGAATTATTGATCTTTCTTTTAATCTAAAATCAATTATGGGGACATACATCCACACCAAGAAGCAAGGAACAGAGGACTGACTATTACTAGCAAACATCAATTGTCACTAGTTATCCTTAACATTATAGAGAGTTTTGTGTCTCAAGCATGGCACTACTTTCATTCAGAAGCATTAAGAATCCATACATAGAGCTGATGTGTGCCAAGAGCACAACACAAGCAATCAAACCCCTCAATCAAATTAAGATTTATGTAACAATGGTGTTGATGTCCATGTCCCAGGACTTGTCAGAAGGGATTGTTCAGACAGTTGTCTGCCATTATTTACTTTTCACAATTCTCAACTAGATAAGGGTCTCCAGAGGTGGTCCATAAGGATATACAACTTAACATCAATGGCTGTGATCCCAAATGGTGACCACACTGAAGCCTCTAGAGTCAAAAACTACTATAGGGCCTGACCCTAAGTCTTCAGTATAGATTTATTTAACCAGATTCCCTTACCTGCCAGGTAAGGCAACAAGGACAGGCTGTAGACATAATTATGATGAGACTCCTTCCCCAACTTTCATTCATATTTATCAGAGGTCATTATCCTAGACCTGGCCATTTTGACTTGGCCATTAGCCATGCTATAGCATAAAGTAGGTTGTTGAGGAAGTGGGGAGAAAGATGGAATTAGTAGGGCTTGGCTAAAAATATGTACATGCCTGAAAGGCTAGTTCTCAAGGAAGTGGACCGACAGTTCCAATAAGAGTCTTCAAATGGCCATGCCATCTGGTTTGTCAATAGCTAAGAGATCCGGGTCTTTTGAGCAAGCAGAAGTCTTTTAAATGGCAACAAAATACATAACTGTATGGAATGGTAGTAGAGTTGTATTTCCATGAAGGTTGGTTTGTGTTGAAGCTGGACTCCAGTCAATAGGTGGAGCAGGTTCCAGCCTGGTAGGATGTGGAATGCAATTAGGAATTCAACCAAGGATTCCTAAATGAACAGGGAACTAGAATGCAGACCAGTGAGGGTGAGGGTGAAAGTCTTGGGCCTAATCTTAGGCACAGGAGACTTAGGCTAACAAACTCAACCCAGATCTCACCCATTGGAGGGAATGGGGTTGCCAGGGAACTTCCAGTGTTGTTTTCATTGGCTCAGACTGGCCAGAGTTTTGCCTACAGACTTTCAATCCTCTTGGGAATTTGGTACCACCTGCAGGAAGTGCCAGTGAATTGTTCACATTATTGTTGAGTTCGGTTTGGTTTGGTGATGGGTCAGCAAATGAACAAGACCTAGTTATTTAAATTCCCAGAAGTACATGAGTTCAGGACTGTCTATTAAGTTGTATCATAGTTCCCCACCTGTATTTTAAATGCTAGTGCAGAATATAAATCTAAGGCTGGAGGTAAGAGGGATATAACTTTGCAAAATGACCTGCTCTCTTACTGGTGAGTTGAGTTATTTATCCTTGCTGGGGCTCGAGAACGTTTGGCGAGGCAATCTCTTGTAAAGTGACCTGCCTGGCTGCAGTAGAGGCACAACTGAGGTTCTTGCTGGCGGGCTCGTTTGGCTGGGGTGAGAGGTGGCTGGCTTCCACGCAACTGTATAGGTTCTTCCTTGGGTGGCAGATTTGTGGGGCTGGAAAAGGCTTGGTGGTGGATCAGGGAAGCCAACATTGGGAACTGGGTCTCTGACTGAAGAAGCTCTGGCCTGTCATTACGTTTCTTGTCCAACTGAATACACTGAGTGATCAGGTCTGGAAGGTTGTTCATCATATCTGTGCCACTCACTTCATTGTGGATGGAATCAGCTAGTCCTTCTTGTAAGTGATCATTCTGATTGGCTTCATTACAGATCAAATTTTGAGCAAGGAGCTGGAAAGTAGAAGCATCCTGCTGAGAAGAGGAGTTATCCTCTTTGTTCAGAGGGTCTATTTCCTGTTTTATAGGCTCACCAAATGATTGCTGGAATTCAAGAACAAACTTCTCATACTGTTTTAGCAGAGTGTTCTGGTCAGGCCCGGATATGACTCCACAACCTTCCATCTGCTGAGAAAGGTAGTCAAAAAAGAACTTGATTTGGACATCATCTGCAGGATTGGAGAACTTGAGAGTTGTCAACCGTGCAGGAAATCCTGAGATACTGGCAGGGTCACTGTGGAACTGAGAAAGATGTTCAAGTAAACACGTTACAGATATCATTGGGGTGGTCAGGGTTGGCATGACTTGGCCCCTCAGATCAGGGTTCTCTTCAGTCAGATGCTCTATTTCTGGTGGCAGAATCAGATTCTCTACTTGAAGGGAGGAATGCTCTACTTGCAAGGTAGACGGTGATTCTGTGTACTTCTCCATTGGGTCTTCTGGAATCAAGCCAGACTAGGTAGAACTAATTGCCAGTACTGGAAACCAATGTGTGGACAGTAGGGTTTCCTCTATCATCAGAGAGATAGTGTCATGAGTAAGTAGCCAAAACTGCTACCTATAAAACAGTTGCAAAGGGATGCTGAGAGCTGAATTCGAGAGATGCAAAATTGTTGTCCACTATTCACTGTTGCCTCTTCTCATGGAGAATGCCAATGTTCTGCACATTCAGAAGTGATAAATTACCTTAGGACACATAGAGGATTTGGAATTAAGAAGGCAAATACAAAAGTCACAATAGATTTTTCTCTCTACTCCCTTTCTTTGTAATATAGGAGAAATTTGCCCTCAAACTAAGACTTTGATTCTAAAGTACCTCTTTTTTATCAGAAAATCAAAGAAATTTATAACCCAAAGTGATCTTAGAGATTATCCAGGCCAAATTCATAATTTCATGAATGAGAAAACAGAGACCCAGGAAGGTAAAGATGTTTGCCCAAGGTCACACAACTACTTAATATCAGAGCTGGCACACTCATCAGTACTGCTGTTGAAAACAGCACTTCCTTCAGGACCACAGATGTGCTCATTTGTACATGTTACTTGAGCATGATGATGGTTCATGCCCCCTTACTACTTAAAATATAATCTGGGAGCCAGCACCATCAACATTACCAGGGAGACTGTTAGAAATGCAGACTCTCAGGTCCCACCCCAGACTTCCTGAATTACTATTCCACTTAAACAGATTTGCCAGGTGATTCAAATATGCACTGAAATTTGAGAAAAGCTGCTCTAGAGAGCATGTTGACCTACTTGAAATAATGACTGGTTGGACTTGAACCTCAATGCTCCAATCCCAGCATGCATTGCTATAGTGATCTGATGGCTGTAGGGGTAGTTAATCCATATTTTTCTAGATTCCTAGTCCTTATCTAAGGTCACATTTGGTTGTCATGAAGATGCTTAAGATGCCATAGGCAAGATGTAGAGGTGAAGTTGGGAATTTAGTAAACAGGAACAGAATATTCTTAAAAGTATAAAGATCAGAATGTTTAGTAATCATCCCTGCACTGATAATAAGAATGAAGCAACCTGTTAGAGTTAAAAACAAACCTAAAATATATGGCATATAAGTTGAACTATTCTGCAGTGTAATTCCCCTAATTGCCCTTTCCTTGTGTAGCATACCATTTAATTGTATTTACATTGGCCACTAGTGGGCAAAAATGTGCATCATTGAATGTAATATTTTTTTCTCTAGGTTTTAGTTGATGGGTCTTCCTCTCTGGACCTGTGGAAGAGATTACTGGAAGACTGAAATTGTATAAGATTGGAGGCCAGAAACTTGGCATTAATTAGTTGCATGACATTAAAGAACTAATTTGGGTCTCAATTTCCTCTTTCATCTAATGAGGATGACTATCTTGTTTACTTCAGAGAGTTATGGTATCAGTGAGATAGTAGATGGTTCTCTGAGTGACAGAGAGAGAGATACTCCCAAGATTGTTCCAATGCAGCTAACAATACCCTTGGTGAGGCTCTTTGTCATATATGGCCAAGATAGGGAGATACTGTCATATTCTTTCTTCCTTCCTTTCCATATCTCACCATTCTGGTTAGTCTACCTTTCCATTTTCCAGGGACCCATCAATGAGTCTATTCCTGCTAGTCCAGTTAGGTGTCATTGAAATGTAAGATGTTAATTAATTAATGAAGGTTAGTAATTGGCCTTTCTCAAGTCATTCACTCTTTCCTCAAAATTTAATGTGCATAAGAAACAACTTGGTCCCAATCCCCAACAATTTTGATTCAATAGGTGGGGTGGATGCCAGGAATCTGTACATTTAACAAGCTGCCCCAAAGATTTCTGATGGTTCTAGTCCTTGTGAAAACGCCACCCAGATGAACCTCAAGGAATAAAGTCATATTATAGCATCACAGAGAAGTAAGAATGGGGAGGGGACATATTTGGAAGCAGGAGGCCTTCAAATGACATAGAATAATAGGTTGCAGCCCATTCTACTTCTGCATAAAGTCCACAAAGAGCCCACACTGTTCTTCACAACTGTACTTCTCTCACAGACAGTGGAGTGCAAGAGTTTAGCATGTAAATTCTAGAGTCAGACTGACATGGGTCCAAATCTTGGCTTGGCCAAAAGTTGTGTGACTTTGGAAAGTTGCTTAATCTCTCCAAGAATCAGCTTCCAAACTTATAAATGGATGTGATTTTAATACCTTCCTCATAGTATTGTGAGGACTAAATGAAATGAAAAGAGATTAGGCAGCTTAATGCAGATGACAGGTGCTTCATAAATTTAGCTATCATTTTGCTAGGTCCATGGCCTGTTATCTGACTATGTTGTAGAATTTAATTTTTAAAAAATTTTGAAAGGTAACACAGAGTATGTACTGTTTATTATATAACACTCCCAGTGGTATCTGGGAAAATATCCCCAAATTAAGCCATTAACATTTCTGCAGGAAAAATGTCTGATATTCATATTAAAAGAGACAAAGACTAAGTTAATATCAGTTTAGGTCATATTTGATACTAAATTAATGAAAAATAGCTTCCATTTTACAGAGCTTTTAGATTTTAAAAATGAAAATAAAGGGTATGGACCTTTCTACCAAAATCCTCTTTGGGTTGGAAAAGTGCGATTTTAACTTTTCCTTCTCTGTTCCTGCCTTCTGCCCTTTCCCCTCCACCCTCAGCAATTCCAGAACATCTGTAGAAATCTCCTGTTTCTTAATAGAATTATGTATTCAAGGTGGCAGAGCATATAATTATTCTAATTATGTAGCATTGGTGAAAAACTTGCCAAAATTATAAGCATTTGCCCAGATGCTAATCATACAATGGCACTGTTGTCGATGGCAATTGTTTAATCTCTCAAAGAAAATCTATCTTGTCTTATCATTTTGGAAATAGCTCTCCTTTTAGAGGTCAATGGCCTTCTATCAGATTGTTCCAGTAGATCCTGGGGTCAAGCATGCCAGTCCGGAGGAGCTCCAGACCTCAATCTTGGGGAGATAAAGCAGAGACTGAGCTGAAACCTCAAATGCACAGGTTTGGGGAATCAGACTAGTGAGCTTGAGCCAGGCCTGACAAAAAACTGCATACGTTTAAGTTTTTAGTTGACTGCCATGTGTTTCAACTTCAAAAACAGCAAGACAAAAATAGGTTTAGTAAACACTAAAAAGGCCATTTGGGCATTTGTGTTCAGTTTGACTCCAGGTCATGGTTGACTGTTTCCCTGCATGAAACTACTCCATGCTGGAGTCCTCTGAAACTCCATTTGGTGAAGAGCCTGAAGTACCTTGCTGCTTATAAGAGAGATGTTTGTCCTTTCACTACTTAATTTTCAAGGTGTTCTACACAATCCTTTGGAGAAGCTTTCAACTATCGCCTTCCAACTACCCAGAGCACTTGCATTTTTACTCCTGAACTCCAGACGATCTAAAGGTAGCTTTGGCCATGAGAACTAAACTGAGACATAAACAGCACTCAAAAGGTGAGCATAAGTGTATACTGTTTAAATTTGTCTAGAGATTTGGGTATGACCCTAGCTAGCTCTACCATCATTTAGACAGACAACCTTGGGAAAGTCACTTCCTCTCTCTAGGCCAGTTTCTATAGCTGTACAATGAAGAGATTGGGTTTCTCAAATTTTATCACATATAAGACATTCTGATTCAAGAGAGCTAGAAGGAGACTCAGAAATCTATATTTTTTATAGGCACTCCAAATGACTGTGGCAAGAGATCTTCAGATTTTACCTTGGGAATATTGGGTGACTGTCCAGACAGAGCTCTGACATTTGTCAGAGATTCTCAAGTTTCAGGGTACATAAGAATCTCTTGGGATTTTAACATGCAGATTCTTGGGCTTTAACCCTAGGCAGTATAATTCAGTGGGTCTGGGATGAGACCAGATAACCTGCATTTTAATCAAGCCCTGCAGATGATGTTGATGCACAAGTTTCTCTGATAATGCTTGAGAAACTCTTGGTTGAATATGCTCAAAAGATCCTTTCTGCTTCAGCACTATCTACAATTTTTGAAAGTAGAAACTATTTGGTTCCAAAAGTGGCACCTGAAGTGTGTGATATGTGGGTTGCTTCCTTCCAAGCCTCTTCCTGAGGCTGTATGGTCACATCTAAACAGTGGGCTAGTGCAGGCCTACCTCAGAAATATGAAAAGTAGCTGGCTTGAGGACAAGAGAGAGGGTCACAAATAAGCTGACCCTGCTCTTAGGTTCTATGGTTCCTGTTGGGAGATTTGCACTGCTCTGCCCTGCCTGTGAGTGAGGCAGAAAAGCCATCCAAATATCCTCATATTCGAGATAGAACAGCAGCCCAGCTGGGGTCGACCTGGCCACTGTTATATCTCAGACTTCAACCTTTCTTCTGGCTCAGCTGGCCCCATGGCCAAGCTGCTTATGAAGTTAAACATGTCATGAACACTCTCTACAAGTATTCCCTGGCAGTTTTCCAGTTGTCCTTTCTACTGTGCATAACTCCATTAAGGAGCCACACTTGCTATACCAGCCTTCCTCCTCTTTGCACCTATTTAACATTCCTCCTAAGGACATATTTCCCTGTCTCCTTTTCCTGCCTTCTCCCTTTTGCTTATTGTCTCTGCTGGCAGCCATGTCACATGGCTGAATGATCCTGCTCAGTCACCAGCTAGAACCTTGGCTGGTAACATCATCCCGGCAATAATGACCCATTTGCATCATTATTTTCTCTCAATCCAGCAGAGAACACCTACAAGGAATGGGTGAGTTTTTATACAAAGGCAAAAATAAGGAGGCCAGGCCGAGGGCAAGATTATCCACCAGACAGGCATCCTAAGACAGTAACAGAGCATTGTGAATAAAATATTATCAACATATAAAAGAGCATTACACAGAGTCCAAGAAAAAAAACCCAAAACAGACTCCATTTTGCCTCTTTACTATATTTGCCTACTTGGTTCAGCCCCTG